CTTAAAACCATAAGAGTCCCGTAAAACTCCAGATTCCCTTGGGGGAAAAATTACACTGGATGGACCCATACATGCCTATGTGAATAACTAAGGTTGGCTGAGTAAAGTGTAGGTTAAGCAGATGATTCCCTGACCCCAGAATACCTAAGAGGGATTTTGGCAGGGGGCCAGAACCCAGGATCCATTTTCAAGAGAAGCCACTGTTGCTTCCATAATTAAGCTTTGGCCACCGGAAGGAAAAAGTCAACAAAATGTCCTACGTTTTGCTACAGAGGCAGTACAAAATGGATAAGAATATGGGCTCAGGATTTGGATTCAAAGCCAGGCTTGACCACTTACCGGCTTCAACAAGATGCTATCTCTGCCTCAATTTCCTCATTATGTTGGTATCTAAGGGTAGTTGTGAAGATTTAAAATGGAAATATGTCTAAATTGAGGCAAATTTTTTGGGCTCCTGTTGTAGAGTAGTTAATTGAAAAACAAGTGAGGTGGAGGAACTGGAATGGATGTTGTAAATTGTTCAAGTTAATCCCAGAGCCATCCTGCAGTTGTAGGGTTTTCAGTTAACTTGAGCAACAGTTCTAACCAGCTGTCCAGCAAATACTTCACCCTTACCCTGTCCAGAAATGTCTGGAGTGGTGGTACTAAAATGCAAGTCTGATCATGCAATCTGTAACTGTCAGTAAAATTCTGGCTCCTTAGCGTGGCGTTCGGTCATTTCCCTACAGTTTTGGCCTTGCGCTGGCCACACAGCTCCAGCTGTATGTGCCACCTCCAAGACTTAACTTAGCTCAGGTAGCACTTGCTCTGTAAAGCTTTCCACTACTGATTTCCCACCCGTTTTCCCAAACCCACCACACAAGTCTCCTAACACCTGTAAACAGCTTTATAATTACTTTGGCTTGTACTGTAATTACTGAATTTCTTTACCTGTCTCCCATACCTGCTTGTGATCTTTCAGAGACCAAGGAGGCTTTTATTTATTCATGTATCTGCATGTATAATTTAGTGAGTGGTCAATGAACGTTTATTGAATGAATTACTAAATTGAAGTGAAGAAAGGTAAAATTACCTAAAAAGAGCACCCCAGGCCTCCTAGTCTATATGCCAAAATGGTGTATCAATATTTTCTGAATAAAAATAAAGTTTTCCCA